GCCTGTGTAGCTGGATCTATCATTGTTTTGTATACAGCCATTCTCTTCTCGCTGTATAGGTCCAAGATGGAGTCATCTGCTTTACCGTGCCATATACCCGCTAGGCATTCGTACAATCCCCCGACATCGACAAATCCTCCCGTTATCCCTAGTCCACCCCATGGATTGCATAGGTGAGCAGCATCGCCAGCGAGGAGAATCCGGCCTTTACGAAAGGTTGGCGCACATCGTTCTATGGTAAATCCATTGTCAGCATTTCGATAGAAATCACGAAAACAGAGAATGGACTTACGGTGTATCTTGTACGGCGCCATGTTCACTACCTCGTAATCCCCCGGCTTGGGGTGGCCTGGAAGTATCATTTCGAACTTTAGAGGCAATCTTGCCCTCATCTCTTCTAGCGTGTATCCCGGCGTCTCGCCGTACGTCACCCGATATAACCCATCCGAGCTGAGTTTAGCTACGAGCTATGTGCAAGTGTTAGCAAGATACTCCCATTTATCCGAGGAGGTGCTGACATAGAAGTGGTCTGGGTGGATAACCAGGGTCAAGTCACGGAAACCGTGCTTGAGGAAGTCGTACTTGATCTGCGAATATGTAAGTTCATGTACACAACACATCACATATGATAGACTTCACATACGTTAGTTGCGACAATCTGTTTATTCCAGGTAAAGCCAGGGAAGCTTTCGCCGAACAATGATTTTCGTACGGCACTTCTCCCTCCGTCGCAACCCACGACATAATCACCATACATCCTTCTCTGCGACTTCACCCCTGTCTCCTCCTCTACTTCCACATCAACCCAAGCTCGGCTATCATCCTGTCCCGAATTCACAACCCGATGTCTCCAGAATATGTTGCCACAAGACGTGGCAGAGAATCTTTCGAGGATGAGATGAGCAAGATCGTTCAAGGGAAGACATGCCTTGCGCAAGTCTTGACCATCGACATGATGCAAAAGCTCGCCATCCAGGGTAGCAATTGTCTCGAAGCCATCCCATTTCCTCCAGCTCATGAAGCTTGGAGACAACCCTCGACAGCGGACTTCATCTAATATCCCCGCCCGTTTCAGATCCGGAATTGCGGCGGGACCGTAATAAGCAGCTCTTGGTTGGGTATCCAGTTCATGCGATGCTTCTAGAATATCGACCGAGATCCCCTCTTGTGAGAGGAGAAGACCGAGAAGGAGACCTGCCGGACCAGCCCCGACAATAACGACCTGCTATGTGTTAACAATGAGACTGGTGCCAAGACGATGTTTTCGGCGCGGGACCTTGTCAAATGGATGGCTCATTTTCTCTACTAATATGAGCTAGGTTAGGTAATTTATGTTTAACAGTTCGGCGACTCGCAAACATCGTGTATCAAAGTATTCTTCGGACAGGAAGATGCTGGATATGATTGATATTGTTCTAGAACTGAGGGGTACGGACCACGGTGGCCTACCAAGGTGGGTAAGGTTCCCACTGCGTATCTTAGTCCCAGATTGAAGGATTGAAGAAGACGGAAGCGGAAAGGTCTGAACGATTCTCCGCTTCCTGTTACCGAGTTTACATGTGCAGGGCCCTGGACTCTAAGCAGACAGAGAAGGAACCTAGCTTGTTCCTAGGTTAGGTAATGGACAACGGTTTTCAGGCTCTTTAGTATTATCGACATCGGCCTGATGTTGCGCGGAACGGTGTCTTCCCCTGTTCGCCCGGTGCCGGTCATCATATCACCCTTCAGCATTGGGATGCTATTGACCGTACCTCGCGAGCAATTTGCTGGCATTGGATCTGATCAAAAACGAAATGGAAGTAGTCGGGGCAGTAGCTAGCTTCATCGCTATAGGCCAGACTCTAGCTGCGGTCCCGAAGATCATTGGGGTTGTACGAGCCGTATCTAACTCTAGAGAAGAACTCGAGGATTTGATATTCGAGGTAAAACTCGACTTCCAGACTTCTCATCGACAGGAACCCTGAGGCTGGATGCTAACTGGACCGTTGATAAGCTAGAGATTCTCGTCGCACGCTATCATCATACGAAAGAGACTCTCGGCTTGTTTTCTCCCGCTACTGGTAGCACGCAAGTCGTCTTTGCACAAGAAGAGCCATACTACATGAAGATTCTGAGAACCAAACTTGACTCTCTGTTACTGGAATTAAATGTGCTAGCTACAGATTGCCAGAGACTATCAGACGAGTCAAAGGGCAATCTGAAGTCCTTCAGAGCGACATGGCCGTGGAAACGGCACAAGGTCTTGCACCTTTACAACCAGGCACGATCGATTCAGTCACACATGGAATCTGCCACGAGAATCTTCATGGATCAAACATTACAGTAAACCACCTTCTTCTTCTCTTATCTCTGCTCTGTCTAACACGTTTATAGTACCCATAGCAAGCTCCTGTCACAAATACGCGATGCTGTCGTTCAGGAATCGCCAAGTACCCCCATAACAGGTTCGACGGACCCGGGAGAAACTGAACCAATAAATCAACAACTTGCAGTGTATGACAATCCCGATTCCACGGCCACACATTTCGACCCGACGTCTTTGGGACCAGCTCTTCTCCTCGAGAATCCACATAGTACTTGTACCTGCTCGTGTCACCAACCCCAAGCAAAAATAGGACTGGAGATCAACGTTGGCGTCGTACCGGGAAGACTGTCGATATATCACTCAAACGTCACTAGATGGCTCTTCCCTTGCCGCGAGTGCGACTATAGTGTCCCGCGAGTATCCTTCCGGGTGGATTACCAGTTCCCAAACTGGTTATGGAACCGGGCCGTCTTGTTCAAGGCTTCCGTGAGCGCCTTGACCGGCATCAGCACGTCCTTGCGCCTCCCCGTCGTCTGGCCGAGCAATGATCCGATATGGCCTGCGTTGAGATCACCGAGGACCGAAGACGTCTTAAAGTACATTTCTCAAAAGAATTATACCGCCACAGACTTGGACCCGCAGGGTGGTTCTGTGATCGAGGTATATATGCTACTCGAAGTATGGATCGAAAGTAGCATATGCATATCAATTAACATGGATATTTTAGTATGCCATGGTTTACAACCAGTTATCCATCGTCTTGGTCCTGATCAACCGCTTCAACGGAATATTAAAAGATACCAGAGCAGCCAAGTAAGTTTCATACGTCCTCTTTACATAATCAGATGACGAAGAAACAATTAAACGAGCCCCTTGATTAAAACTTACCGTGATAGTAATGCTGTCGCCCGAGCGAGGACAATCTTATTTAACCGTACCAACAATCTATCCGATTTTGAAGTATATACTTTAAACCGCGTTGTCGAGCTAGTCGACGACGACGACGACGAAATACGCCCACTTCTACTTCACGAGGCGGTCCGAAGTAAAGGCGACCTCGGCCACGCCATGAAGACGGACACGTCCACTCTCAACACCCTCGACGCATCCGGCTTCACACCCCTGCACCTAGCCTGTCTACACAACAACCACGAAGCGCTCGAGTTCCTCCTCCGTCACAAGGCCGACGTTCGCAAGCTAGACCGACAGGGCGAGACCGCTCTCCACATGGCAGCATACTGCGGCCTCGCGCATTTCGCATCCGCCCTACTCGACGCCGGGTGCAACATCAACCAGCGCGGCAAGGGCGGGGAAACGGCGTTACACAAAGCCTGCCGATCGCGCAGTCTCGAGGAGGAGGAGGACGCTCGGATCATCGAGTACCTGCTCGGCCGGGGCGCCGAAGCCGCGGCAGTCAACGATTACGGCGACACGGTATTCCACATTCTCGCGAATCAACCGGCCGGATCCCCGGCCGTGGCCAGAAGCGTCGACCTCTGCATGCGGTTCGGGGCCTGGTCTGTGATAGATGCGCGGAATCACTTCGGTAACACCCCGCTCCTGAAAGCGATCTGGGAGGTCAAAGGAAACATGGTGCAGATGCTCCTGAACAAGGGCGCGCGGTGCGCTATCGCCAACAACAAGCGGTTGAACGTCCTTCACGCCACGGGCCGGATCGGGAACGAGGAGATTATGAATATGCTCCGTCGCGTCCGTATCGAAGGGTTGGACATCCGGTCGAAATCCACAGACGATCTAACGCCCGTAGGAGAACTAAGGCGTGCGATTCGGAGGACAACAGGCGGCATGGTAAAAGATAGGAACCCTACTCCCGAGGACATCTCGGCTTTCGAAGCTCTGCTGAGAGACGTGCGTGATCGCGCCGTTATGGCCGAGACGGACAAGCTGGAAGAGATGATACTTGATATCACCGAACATAAGACTACAAGGAGAGCGAGGGAATGTCTTCAGCGTCTGATCGGATGGAAGCTGGATGCTGGGATAGATGATGAAATGTCGGCTTTTCAGGGAATCGACTACGCGCTACACGAAGGGCGGGAGGAGATGGCTGTCACGGGGCTGAGGGAGATGATTATACGGTCTAAGCAGCGGTTGCTCAAATCACCTTATGAGGAGGAACCCGAGGTTGGGTGATCTCAATGAATAACTGGCCAGTCTTTAATGCAGTAAGTACTGCATGACGTTAACCTAATCGCACTCGTCACAATCACTATACCTTGCAGATGTCCTCGGCTTTCGGATCTGCATATGAGGGCAAGTTAGTTAGACGCCTTGAATCCGCAGGGTGGGTAGGACGTTCCCACTCATGCCATTGCCTGTCACACAATCTGGAGACGGCAGCCTTGGGCAATAAGGATTTATTGCATTCCGTCTTTATTGGCTGGTACTAGATACCTACAACAACGTGCTCGGCTCGGGTCCGCCGAGCTGTTCCCGCTGCTCGACCGGTACTAGGTATCCCGCATATAGCATGTTAGCCGGCCGGCACCTGGCCGCGATCCGGGACGGGAGGGACTAGCCTATTTATTATTGCCTTGTCTCCCCCCTATCTTTCCGTACGAAAAAGAAAAACTGGTGGTGGATTACCTACTCGTACGTAGTTGATGAGGAGGACTTTTTAGTTTGATAGGAATAAACCATCAAATACACTGAAAAAACAAAACAAAACAAAAATCTCCGAATCGGGGAATCGAACCCCGGGCTTGACGGCACCTTCAAGTGAATGAATCGAATTCAATTCAAATGATGAGAGCGTCAAATGTTAGCCACTACACCAATTCGGAATATTGCAAGTAAACAGAGAGAGAACTCGCGTTTGCCCACTAGCGGAATCGAACCGCTGATCTTGTCATGACATCTAGATAATACTAGTGACACGCTATACCACTTAGCCAAGCGGGCTTATTTGGTTGACCGCCTTCGAAAGAAAACCTTTGATCCAGCAGTCTCAAAGTTGTATCCAACTTGTTACTCGCCGTTCCTTCGTGAACCCTGCGATGCAGTTCCAAGGGCAGACAGATAGATATCAGGTAAACTTGCAGTCACACTTATACAAGTCACAACTGCCCAAGCCTAGTCCTAACCCAAGCTTCATAAGCCGCGAAAAGCCCAACATCCCTCCTTGTCTCGCAGAACCTCGCCAAAGCCCTATACCTATCCTTGACACCCCCCCCCCCCCCCCCCTTCTTTACATCCTCATTCCCATCGCCGAGCTCGCCGACTACGGCATGAACAAGCTTCTCCAAACATACGGGACAGAGATACGGCGGCTGTCTCACATCCTCAGCCATCCCCGCCGTGCCCTGCATGACACACACGCGTAGTAAACACGATGGTCCACCCCGAAACAGTGCCCGAGCTCATGCACCAGCGTGCGCGCCACACGGGAGAACCACAACCCATCACCCATTTCATTCGCCCCTTTCGCTTTCCGGACAGCTTCGCGAATCGGCGAATCATCACTCATCTCAAATTCCAACCTCTTCTTCTTCTTCTTCTTCTTCCTCCCCTTATTCCCCCGTAAACCCACCCCTTGCTCCTCACAAAGCACATCGGTAAATCCCCCGCAATGCGAAAAAAAAGGGGGCCACATGTGCGCACGATCAATACCTTACCCGCCCGCGCATCTAGCCCGGGATCATATGTCGCCGAAGAAACCACACACACGCGACTCCCGCCGTACGCGCGGCCACAGCAGAAAGTCGTCGTCCTCGTCCTCGTAGACGTCGTGGTCCACGAGCATGACGAGCGAGTGCGCGTCCTCGGGCAGGATATCGATTGCGACGTCGAGGACGTCGTTGAGGTTAATCTGTTTCCGAGAATTGTCCGTCCGTCCGGACACGTCCTGGTTCGGATGCGGCGCGCGCAGGTCTCTTCTTCCCCGTATAATGCCAAGCCTATAAACTCGCTGCTGCTACTACTACCACCATCACCTTTCGCCTTCGCCTTCCTTTCCTCTTCCCATGGCGTGAAATGTAGTTCTCCGGGAAAGCGTCTCACCGGTAGACCGTGGTAGAAGGCCGCGATGTACTCTGAAGCAGCATCACTCGCCGATAGTGGTCTCGGCTTCAGTCCGCCGTCGTCGTCGTCGTCGTCGTCGTCGTCGCCACCACCAGTTTTCGTAGGTTTCTCCCATCCGCGCATAAAAGGTGCAACAATCGTCGGCTGCGCAACGACATAGATCGACCTTCTCTCGGCCGTCACTTTATTCCGCGTCTTCGTAGTCAGCAGCCACGAACGGAAGGACTGTGGCGGGTATTCCGGGTCCCAATTGAGCTCATCATTGGGCAGCAAGAGCGGGCCGGGAAACGTCGGCGCGAGCCGAGCGCCGGCTTCCTCGCTTAACTTTTCCATGTCTTTTGCCGAGACGCCTTTTGTTCGCAGGGGATTACGACCGGGGCGGGTTGTGGCCGCGAGTCTCTTTGCCGGACCTGGACGCTCGAACCCCAGCCTCTTCTGCCCATGACGAGCACTCTAGGAGCAAATCCTCATGTTTACAGGTGGTCTTTTCCCCTGTTATTCTTTTCATACTTGTTAAATGAGATGTTTCTCTTGCAGATCAGAAGATCTTCTTCTTGATGTCTAAGGCGTTCATATGATTAAGGGGTCATTATACACGTACACCTAGCGCGTGCCTAGGTAGGTACTTAGTCTAGCGTCCTTTTTGACCCCTTCCAAATTCGGAGTTAAAGGTGCCAAGAGTAAAGTAACTAGCGTGCCTTTTGAACACCGGCGAGCTTTCACGTGTAGTATTAACACTCCCTGATCTATCAGCCCTATATACTCGTAGTCATTAACCTACTCGTACACGTAGACACTTGTGTATAATATGCCAAAGGCGAATACCTACTACTGAGTAGCTGAATAACATGTCGAGTCCACTTTGGATAGGATATGTTCATTCAGTCATCTCTCCATTGATCTCACTTAACGCTAGTAGGTACATAATATGATACAGCGCTAATGGGGTCGGAAAACCAGTGAATATTTCAACAGGTTACAAATACCCACTCACTTCACCTGGTCCGTTTGTATCCCATGCGTCCCCGGGCAATGAACCGCGAAGGTTTCGATATTGATACCGGGCCAGTTTTTCTAGCCACAACCGGGTATCTCTTGGTGTACAGGGAAAAGTAGAAAAAAGATAGGATTCCGCCGAAAATTGGCCCATATTTGGTTCCAAGTATTTCGGGTCATCATGTTCAAGCGACATCCTCCATCTCGATATTATCGTCATCAACATCATCATCGGAATCGTTTGCCTCGGGACTCGGAGGTGCACCTTCGACTGACTGCACCGTCACCCTCTTATACTCCGGCTTCAACTCCCAATGATTGGCAAAGCGCCCCGACTTGTGTAAAACGCAAAGCTCTTCGAGGTTCTCCCGTAGCCAGGCCTCGGGTTGGTTCAGAGTCTGTCTGAAGGCTTTCAGAGACCAGTAGGCAAACTTTTCGTAGCAGTTGAAGATACGATCGCGAAGTTCGCTCTGTGGTAGTCGAGCCGCCTTCTCCTCCTTCTGCTTCTTCGCCTTCTTGGGATCCGGTACCGTTCGCTACCATCATTAGTCCGGGCTGCAAGTGATCCAAGAAGACAAAAGACACTCACCACGAGGTTGCTGAATCTATCATTAGGCACATGAGCACCTGCTTGGATGACACCGCTCGGGTCGAACGAGTTTATTATACTCGTGGCCACCTTTGGCTTCATGGCGTCGTCATTCATCGTCCGCAAGATGTGTTTTGTCTCCTCTGTCCAAACAGGCAAGCAGTTCATTTCACGGCTGAATCTTGCCGCTAGCGTAGTTTTCTCTATTTCCGGTGTTAGTGTGGACAGTGGTAGCGTCGGCCAAGAACGGTCAGGAGAAACGGACTTGGTATGGCCTTCCTGTACCGAGGCTGGTATTTATTCTTCTTTACGCCGCCTTCTGGCTGGGCCTTCTCCTCTGGCCGTTGTTGTTGTTGCTCTTGTCTGCGGCGTAGATGGGGAGGTAGATCGCTATTAGCCCCTTGCGATCTAGACTTGAAGCCAGGGAGATCTTGTTCTGTGAATAAAAAGGTATTGGCCAAGTGGTTGTCTTTAGCCTCTAGTGTGTATTCTTTCGGAATCGTCTGGTGATTTGGCTTGGTGTGGTCTAGCAGTAATGCCATTCTCTCCTACATGTCATTGTCAGGCGGGATTCTGATGTGGAAGCGCCTGGATGTGGCACATACCGTTTGCTTGCCATCCTTTCCCACCTCGATCCATTTGCGTACAGTACCTATCTGGATTTCTTCGTCGTCTTTCATATTCGCCCAGGAATTGTAAAGGTATTTCGGAACGTGGGCTAATAGAACATCGGCCGCGGCAGGATTGGCAGGGTTGAAATCGGCAAATTCCAGATCGCCGGCGTCTTCGTAAAGGTCGTCGTCGGACATACCAACGTCCACCGAATCGGCTGCATCGGGGTCAGGTTTAATTGAAGGATCCGGCTTTATCGTAGGATCCGGCTTAATAGCTGGCTCTGTCTTGACGGACGCCATGTTGTTGGACTACACCCCTAAGGGCTTCGGGATACCTATTGCTGTTATCTAGGTCGAGGAGCGGGACCAAATTTTGGCAAGATATATTGAGAAAGAGCTCCAGCCGTCCTAGTCGCCCTGATGATTGCTTAAAGAGAGGTAAGAGAGCAGTAATAGAGATGTTGCATCGAGGTGCACGGGAAGTTCGAAGCAGGTGTTGAGTACGTCACGCTCCCTCAGTCTAAACACGTGTTTATTGAAACGCTGTTTACTAACGATGCGCAAACATTCGTAATTCACGTTGAAGTTTTTGAGTAGGTTAGGTAAGTACAGTATGGACTGGAATGGAATTGGTTGATGCGGCAGAGCTTGGAGTACGAGAAATCAGCCTTGTCATAGGAAAATAACCTTCGGTGTGTTCATCCGTTTGCAGCCGGGTGTCTAAAAGCATAAAGTATCCAAAGCTCAAATGAACTGAGCCACAGACCAATAGGAACAGTTCCAAGCAAAGGGGTATAGCGTACAGTATAGAGACTGTGTTACTATGTCATACCTAGATTACTACTTGTCCCTATAGGCGATATATGTATATACTTCTAACCTCTTATAAATACTCGTACAGTACAAACTAGACAGTATACAGAGCAAAGCACATTGTCCAGGGCCGCTGGGTAGGAGATGCACAGCAGCCGCAATCCCCACCGGTTCTGTGATAACATTGGACTCCAACATCTCTTATCTTCATTTTCTCCTGCATATTCAAACGCAGCAACCTCCAAGAATTGTCAAGGTAACCTAGTAATAAGAAACACTGCACCCTCACGTAAGACAGTCGCAATTCCTTCAAAGCCCTCCGATTCCCCTCGGTATGCCCTCCGCCAGATCATCATGCGAGCTCCTACCTATGTTAGGTACCTAACCTAGCGACTTCCGTCGGCAAGTGACGACATTGGAGAAGCGTCAAAGAGAGCAGATTTCCCTTTCACCACCAACAACGCGCTGTTATGACCTAAGTTGTATGGGATAGAAATGACAAAGAGTTTGGACTTTACGCGACCGAGGCTCTTGTTGCTCTCTCCTTCTAGCTCCAGTCTTAGCAAATACCTCTTACGCCTGTGTAGAGGCGACTAGCGAATATTGCCACCCAGCGCGTCCCTGCGCATGGACTATTTTCATCTTGTTGGCTCTTTCCATTTCACTCTTTTGGTGCAAGCACAGGGACTCGCAAGGGGCCAAACACCCCGAACATCAGTCGCACGAGTGCTCTCTTTGGAACCCGTCCCTT